TTTCTATCAGTGATACATTTAATTCAGTGGTTATGTTGTTACAATAAAATTCTTAAAAACACCTCTACTTTTTAATTGTATAGCGTATAATATCGATTTTATGATGAAACACCAGAACATATGACTTTAAAATACCATAACAATAAAAGTGATCCTGCCTTAATTACAAAGATATACTTTGGTAATGATGCATCAGAATATTGCATGTGATCCAGAAGCAATATCCCCGAAACGAAATACACATATGAAATGCAATAGTCAACACGTGTCCATGGACATCCTTTAAATATGGGGCAAACGGTAAATCTGACTCATGTTAAAGTTGAAAATATTTATTGGAAAACCAGTACTATCGATCATCGAAAACGGCAATCGGGCCAAGAAACAAGAAATTCGAGTCCACTCGAACGCAATCTTATTATCGGGGAAACGTTCGAATTGTCCGATGTTAATTAAAAACTTATATGTATGGGAGAGTGCAAGGACAATTGTGTATGTAAGTTATCGTGAAGTATGACATCGTTGTGGCAACGGAACGGAAAAGCTACAGGGAAAAAAGAAACGAAACGTAGAGAATGAGGGAGAGAGAGTGAGAGCTAGAGAGAGAGAAGGAGAAACGAAGGTGGTATGTTTCAACATCTCTTCTAGATTTTGAACATTTCATTTGCGATTAAGGTTATGCCCTAGGTAGTCGACAAACGCGTTTACATTCGACGTGCACACATTCGTGCATAGAGAAGATTTGCCGACTGGCAGCGTACGTACACACAGGAAACACATTACTCACTCACACGCGGAGCCGCCGCTACACTACATTCTTAGTGACTCTCGCGCACGCCACTGGTACAGGCACACGGCGCACGGGGGATCGAGAGTGGCCCGATAGCCGTTTGCGTGAGCGGACGGATGGCGCATCGCGGATTCATTCCGCTACTTACATTGTATTCCTTGTCAAGAGATTTCAACAATCTTTCGGTGAGCTCGGTGCAATATCTCTGCATCGGGGGGGCACACTTAGGGCCCTCGCGGGGAGATTAGGTTAGCGGAAAATCGGCTCCACGCGTACGAGTGTCACGAATACGAGAGCTCGGGGGGGCTTGCAATGGCGACTACTGAACTGTGCTCCGCTCGCATGCCCTCCCTGCCTCCCAAGTGCCTCCTAGTCGCAGCCCATGCATCGTCCCTAGCCCCACGCCGCCTCATACTGCGAGAGACAAGCGCTGCTAGCTCCTCTCGTGGTTGGATGAGACTCCCGACCATTACTACACCTCCCTTCTATCCCCACTACTCGTCGAATGCCGCTCGACACGAACACGACTTTCCGTACGAAACTTCAGATAGATCTATCTAGCACCCTAGAATTTTCTATGCCTGAACGTCCCATTTGCAAATCCGACATGATTTTACTTCAACTTTCGATCAAATACAGTCTGCCTTAATAATCAGACCCGCATCAATTTTATTTGAAAGATAAATAAAAAATAACTGCTTGAAATCATTTATGTCAAACCGTTATTTAAAAATAAAAGTATGATCGATTCATTTGAGACCAAACTATTTCAAATAATAAATTATTTCGTTATTTCTTTATTTCGAATTGGTCAAAAGAAATTTATGCTGAACATAACAATGAAGATGTTATTTTATGAAATCTTCACGACAATTTGTTTAAAGCAAACAGATGTAAACCAGCCCTAAGTATTAAATTTAACTTCATACTTATTTCAAATATGTAATTATAAAATAAAATAACATGTTATTTGAAATAATATTTAAAATAATGTTATTTCAACTGATACATGAATTCACTTCGAGAAACTTTATCATTAGCAAAAATATTCACCCCGACTTTGTTATTAACTAGTTATTAACGAAAAACATTGTTCATTTAGAGCTTGTAGAATATCGAATGAATAAGGATGAGAAAATAATAATTATTTCAACTAGATTGGTAAGGAATAAGTATGGCTACTTCTAAAATGACGTGAATAATTTCAGTCGGTGTATGACGATTTGATTGAATGTAATTCAAAGCAGCGTATAGCCAACATAAACTAGCATTCTCATTGGACGATGATTTTTGTTGATATAACTTGTTAATTATTTGAATTTAATTATTATTTGAATATTTTAATATGTTTAGAACCTAAAATATTATATTATTAAGTCGTAATCTATGTAGTGTTTGTTACACGATAATTTCATTTACGAACATTGTAGTACCGTGAAGTTGGGTACAAAGAGTATGTATTACCAACGTAGGAAAATAAAGTAACTAGACAGTTTATACCTAGTGAAATTCGGGTGTAATTGTCGAATCTAGTAATATGTACATATGTAAATAATTTTTTAAAATATATACAGATGTTTTCAATGATGATAATTTCAAATAAACAAAATAACCGAGGTAGGTATGTTTTACTCGTAGTTTTGTC